TAGGACTTTTTTTCTTAGTTTTTTACTCCTCTACACGCTCCCGAAGTTTTGCCATTTAATTTGGAAACACCCTGTATACATATATATATAAATTCGTATATGAATGGACCATTTGGAATGTATTCCAAATGATCTACTTAAATTTTGTGTGTATATTATAGATTAATTATTTCTCACTTACAATTAATAATAATTACGATGTACTATACCTACTGTATATATTGTATAATTGGTAAAAAAGTCTTCAAAGTTGTAGAATGTTATATTCCTAATTACATAGAGATACAATTATCTTGGCGATGGAGATAGTATGTCCCTCAACTCTGTTAGTTCTTTTTTCCTCTAATTTATAACGATTTGCAACGTCGGCAAAGTTACGTTAATAAAAAGCAGATAAACATCCGGCGTGTCACGCCACCAGATTTATCATCGGGATAGTCTTCGTAAAAAAGCATGTTTTTTTCAAATTCTAGATTAAATAAAACATGTTTATAGAATAAATTATTAAGCATAATTAGGAAGCAAAATATTATGAAAGTAGTTATTTATTGATTCTTGTAAATTTTCTTATTTTTCTATTATTATATCACACTCTATGAATCTTTGGCTACAATAAACACATTATATATTTTTGCTCGTTCGTAACATCATCTTTATTGAAACTTCATTATTATTCAAAAGATTAGTTTTACTGCTCTTGAAATATAAATCACGTTAGATACAAATGAGCGATTTTAAAACTTAATGAATTTTTAATGTAGATGGGCTAAATATGATCGCGAATAAAAAAGATTGCATCCTCCACTCGGCGGCGTGAGAAATTTCTCCGCGATCGCGAGTTAACTCGCCACGCGCGATGATTTCAGAGGCGTGGATGCTGATAATCGTGGGAAAAAGATTCGCGATTTCCCTCTATAAATTTTTCCGAATCAAAACTGCGAAATTTGTTAAAATAATTATAATTAAATATATAAAATAAAAATTAACAAAAAATATTTACGTCTAAATTTTACAAAATGTGCATTTTCCTCCTTAATTCTTACTATATTCGATGTTTAGTATGTAATCACAAAGGTCAAAATTATGTCGGTGTGATCTTACATCGCCATTGGTAATCTAAGGCTGATTCTCGTCAAGGCTAATTATTGAAACGTTCTTCCTGATCGATGCTCTTACATCCGCATTTTTGTATGCTTCTCTATTTGACAGTGCACAGTAGATAACTCCGGGGACATTGTAATTATCCATGAATGAAATTCGCTTCTCGTGAGGTTAACCTTTCGCTTAGTATTTAGTTTTTCACTGAATGAAGGGGCTTAACACAAACGTAGAAAAGGTCGTGATCGTTGCCCGTGCGACCTTCGCTCGTCACGTTCTGCAGATAAGCTGTTAAAGGGATATATGTATACTCTCGACAGAATAGGAAAATCGGTTTCTAAATCACGAACCAGCTGTTGTGTGTATGATAAAATATTGCTTATTAAAAATAATAATTTCATCAAAAATTAAAATTTTTGCAAATTTATGATAATTTAAAATTTTATGCTTTACTGTGATCAGGTTACATTCCACTCGAAAAAACAGATAATTCCTAAAAAGGATTTTTAGCGCTTATAATAATGAACTTGTCAATCCACTTCGTCTACAAAAAAGAATCTAACTGAAGTGCTATCTCCGAGAAAGATGTTATTTAACGGATATATATCACTTGCAATGTTTATTGCATCTTCATATTAAGATTAGCTGGCGACCTTGAGGGGATTAGAGTAATTTGTTTTCCGTCTCGTCCTTGAACTATAAATTTCATAATTTCGTCGTGAAATCGTGTTTCAGAAACGTAAATTTCACGAGTTTCTAAGAATTTGATTTCCATTAACGTTCATCCGCGATGAACGTAGGCGTCTTGTATCTTGATCAAAAGTGATTCTTAATTGCATTTCTGAGGAGCGTAAAAGTTTGAGGATATATTAATCCTTGGACGCATTAATTCTTACTCTTATAAATCAACTTATATAAAAAATAAAATAAAATAAAAACAAGCGGAATTTGTATATGTATTACAAATTATTTGAAGAATATTAAAAGAATGTAAATAGAAGTAGAGAAATTGATCTTCAGATACCGAATATGTATTTAAACAATTACCATGCATTTAAATTTACATTTAAATAGTTCTGTATATTACGTCCCACATTCTTTAAGTCATTCGAATTCGGAAATTCCGAAGGACGTGGTCAATTCGTTACCGATGCATTTTTTTTAGACGTCTAAAGAAACTAAAGAGAAACTTTAACTATGTATAGTCATGTCGTAAATTAATTAATTCTCTTATAACAGGATGATATTAAAAATATTTTTTTTTTAGTCTCTGCCTAAAATTTCTGCGAAACTTCATTTCCTTGAACTTTAATACGCATTCCAAATAAAACATTTTTGTTATATAATAATTATGACGTTTAATAATTAAACCTGATATTGACGAAAGGAAATAGAACTTATATATTTGAGGAAAAAAACTTTAACTGCACTCTCATCGATAGCCTCTATTACGTATTGCTTATGAGGTAATAAGCATTATGAAGTAACAAATTTTTGCTGTATTTGGCGCTTCTCTAGCTAATATATTAACTGTGTTGTAAATTGCGGAATATCTCGCATGATATTTCTTAATTCATTATAAATGCTTGCGGCAGTAGCATTTCGTTTACATGTTGTTAAATTTCAGATTTTTCTTCAGAATCTCTCGTTAAAGAATCGCAGTTGAGAGATTCGCATTATTATTCCTTGAAAACTTATTAATTCTGTTGCGCTTCGCGGAGCAATATAAGCACGTTGCATGAGAAAGCGATCTGAAACATGGTTTTTATCATTAGATATTAATATCGCATAATAAGAGTATAAAAGTGTCTGCAATTATAATCTTAGCTAAAAGTACGATGTATTATTGTTTAATTATGATAAAATAAGCAAATAAAAGTAAAATTAAAAAATTTTGAAATATATTTTTTATTATTATAGCATTATCCTTTGTTTATTAATTTCTCGATTGAACCTAAAATTCTCTATATATTATATTATTACCAGATATAACTGATTTTCTATTAAAATTTTGTCTAATTTGTTTTCTCATTTCGAAATGTAACCTTTTCATTTATAGATATGATGATCTCAGTATGATTTATCGGTTAATGACGATTCATTAACATATCATATTCTTGACCGAGCTCTCATTTCTTTCGAGTGATGCATTAGAATCATTTAGTGTATTCTTCTGTAAACACGCAAGATACATGAGCGGAAGCTATTCTGTAGCTATTTTTTTCCTGTTAATTATGCTTATGATTATTTTGATAGAGTTCCTGAGACATTTACTGTTAGAATGTAAACAATTAACTTTTCGCTAAAAACACGATCCATATTATTCAAAATTTCGAATCCGTAAATGCGTTTTGAGATAACTTTTTGGTAATATTTGGGTAATGCGAGGAACAAAGTGATAGCGATAATGCACTTGTGGCTTTATGGACAAAATTTTCACTATTTAAATGTCACGGGGGCACCGAAGCTGTTTGTGATCGACGCGTTAACCGCCATAATAATCATCGTCGTGTATATCAGATGTTTTTCTTATCTTCATATCTCCATAAATTACCTATCAAGGTCACTCTATGAATTATGCGTATGTCTCATCGATTGAGTTTGTATCAATTATTGTAAGAAAATATTAACCAATATTTCAAGATAAAGTTACTGTAAGAAATTCCATAACTACTTATTTAAAATTATTTATAGTTATATAATTGCCAAAATCAAAGAGAATACACGTATAGGTTTTTTTTTTGTTAAAATGTATTTAGATTACGTGATATTTTTGCAGTACTATATACGATCGAATGAAGTCGTTCTTCCAAGACAGCAGGTTTCGCTTTTTATATTTGAAATTCGGTAATCTTCACTACGTCCTTGAGGTAGAATGGAGAATGTTATAAGTCGCTTCCCACGATTAGAATATCGCTCGACGAACGCTTGGCACGTAATTCTCAGAATAGTATCAGCGCTACACGTATTTATTATCTGAATCCTGAATTATCAGTTGTTTCTAGAGCTAATTATAAATTATTAGTCACTGTTACATTATTAATGGAACTGCAGTGATTTTCATTATAAAAAAAATTTATGATGGTTAAACATTGTATAAAGCACTCGCAGTTTATTGCATTTTCTAAAAAAAGGCGATAATAAAAAAAGACTAAAAAAATATTAATACCATTTTTTAATAAAATTGTATTTTAATTTATTTTTGTTAGATATGAAACGTTTATGTCAATTTATTTAGTTACTTTATATTTATGACCAAGACTATATTTGTTACAAATGTTACTTTTTTATACAGCAAACTTGGTCAATCTTTTCATATCGTGCATAAGAAATAACTACAGATTTTGCAACATTTTTAAAAAATCTATCTCATATTCAATTCAAATCGTCAATCAATTGTAATTTATTTATCAGATTTATTTGTATATTGATAATTTCACAGTATACTTAATGGCTAAATTAATATAGTTAATTAATGTTAAATAATAAAAGTTATGAATCGTTATCAGAACCACAACATAAATTGTGATAGCAAATATTTTATAATATTTCGTAACACCATTCTCTTACGAAGAAATACGAATCGTCGAACGAAAAATATGAACATGATTTGCGACAGGAATTTATGTTTCCTACGAAATATCAAAGGTACTGAAAGAGCAACCGCAGGCACGATAAAGCGTGCGGTGTTACACGGTCAGTTCTCAGTTGTCGTAAGCGTGACGTAAGAAGAAGAAGAAGACGAAAGAAAAGAAGACAGGTGTGACCATCGCGGCCTGTAATAAGAAGACAAAAAGCTTTGTATCGTAGACATCTCTTGTGATTTCAATAATTATGCGTAGGCAGATACGTGTTCTTCCTCTCTGAGAGCACTCGGAACTTCATGATCGCACTGGTCACACCTGTCTCATTTTGCATAAACGTTTACGCGGAAAGATGATCTGCTCGGCTGACAAACACATTGTCTTTTGTATCTTTAGAAGCGAAAAAAGATCATTTCAATGAAACAAATTATTGAATTGAATTCTTTCAAATTATCGAATCATGTTGAGTTATCAATTTATTCATTTATCTTGTCAGTAATATTAAAATTGTTATAACAATAATAATTACCGATAAACCATTACTACTTAAAATTTCTGAAATCGACATTAGTAAAATTTAATATTTTTAAAATCACTTATGATTTCTGAAAACAATATTAGTAAGATTTAATATTTGTTATAATTTATTATATATATATGTATATATATGTAATCATACCTGATAGCATTATATTTATAACACATATAAATATTTTTTTAATACTGTAGTTTTATTTTTTAAAGAATTTTGTCCTTATTTTCTTAAAATTTTGCCGTAGATAGTTGCGTGTACAATGTAACACAAGCATTACGTGGACAGTTATATTCTTTGTGGCGTTGGATTAATCCTGGCAACAAAAAGATTCGATGGAAAGAAAACGACGTAGATCATCTTTGAATTGAGCTCACTCTTCAGACAGTATTTCAGAGAGAATCCAGAAGAAGGCCGTGTTTTGTATCCACCTTAACCATGGTAGCCATAACCATGACCGTAACCACCATAATGACCGTAACCACCGTAGAACGGATATCCTAAGCAACAATGAAAAAATACTTTAATATTTTCGTTATAAACGATCCTTTTGTTCGGAAATGCGAATGTGCATGTGTGTATCTGAATGATTTCTTTGTTATGAAATTAGCATGCGTGTGTAAGTTGTTCTGCATTGTTTGCGTGATATAAACTTGTGTAATATAAAAAATTGTCCTAGAATAACTTACTTTTCTATATTTTCATAAATTTACATATATTTTTAGAGAAATGAAATTTAGTTGTTACAATAATTTTTTTTTAAATAACTGCGCACTGCCTACAGCGCTAATTAATTCAATTGCGCTTTTTATTACGTAATATAATTTTATAATATTTTATTACAACAAGCAGTAAATTGTTATATTAAAATATTACATTAAATAATTACAGTAAATAATTATATAGAATTACATATTAAAAATTAATAGAGTTACACAAAATTAAAAAAAAATATGAATCTATGAGGAAATACGATTCTATGAGGTGTAACTTATAAATTCTATATATATAAATTTTACAGAAGAGATTCTATTATAAATCCTACCAAATCCATAGCCATGTCCATAGCCATGTCCATAGCCATGTCCATATCCATGTCCATATCCTCCATACCCATGTCCATACCCATGTCCATACCCTCCATACCCATGTCCATATCCTCCATAGAACGGGAATTTATATCCATAGGAATACGGATAGTAACTGTATCCTAAGTATCCTGGTTTTGCAACAGCCACGCCGATTGCGACTGCCAAGAGCAGAACAAGATACTATAAAGCGAATAAAAGATGAGAATAGGAATTAAATTTAATTAAGAAAATTAAAATTAAAATTAAGAAAATTAAATTAAAATAAAAAATTGAGAAATTGAAAAAATCAAGTACTAACTTTATCTTTATTTTTTTTACAATGTAGAAAGGATTTTAGAAATATACGTAACAGTGATTGCAAAAAGCTTATCCGAATTAATGGCACGATAATCACGCCATTTCATATGCATGATTTTACTTGTGCGTGTAATAATAATAAAGTAAATTTCACTTTAATGACTGATATATTGCCATTGCGTAATGTCCAAATTTCATAGCAAACTCATATTAAAAAATACATTATTACAAACTTTATCGTGTAATATTTTATGATTAGCGAAAGAATAATGTCGTAACAAGTTAAATTACCATAATACTTGACTTCTAGAACAATTTTTGATTCAAATTCATCGCACTTACGATTTTCAGGCACGCCATTTTCTTGTATTTGCAATTGTTGTTTGTGGCCCGACTGACGCCTTACTAACAATTGCACTGATTTTTTCTCATCTGTCGTTGTCGAACACCACTGTCTATCGTTTCTGCGACACAAGTGCTTTTATAAGAAAGGCGGGGTCCCTTCGTAAGGCGCGGTGGACCCCCCACGAGAGCGGTACGTTTTTCCAGGTCCCGCTCTGGTCTCCGCCTGTTGTGCTAATAGGAAACTTCATTGTTACCCTGGGATTATGCGAATTGCGATTTTGCATTATGAAAGAAACGCGAAAGACGCGGCAATGTGCGGTAACGCACCTGTGACGGGGTCGCACTAGTCCACGCCCGATGGGCGCCTTGACATCCAAATTTCTTCTTCGACGCGATTGCTCGCGTGTGTCCGCAACGCCGTAAACCCCTCATTACAGCAGGAGAGAATCATACGTCGCAACTACCGATTGCGATACTTAATGTCGCTGCTGTAATCGCTAATCGCTTATCGTCAAACAGTAATTCCTGGGTCCGCCGGTGAATCCCAGCAGCAGGCTCGGAGGAGGAAACGTTCTTCTCCCGAGTATCGTAATCGAAACAGAAAGAAGCGATAGACGACACTTACGCCGGTCGACGATTACGTAATCCGGGATTCTGTTACAAAATGTGAAATTATGTTGATAGACATCCGCGCGTTTGAGATGTGTGTGTCCGATTTGTCAATTGCGTGGCGACATTCTTAGAGACGTTCGACGGAAGAATGGATAATTAGATATTGAAAATTAAGTGTCTCGAGAAATTTATTACCTATATGATACTTAATTAAATAGAGATGTCAGAACTAGAGCGATCGAATGTTTTGAAAGTTAAGTGTGCGTAGAATATTAATATATGTGAGAATCATCATTAATAGAATGTCACAAATTACAACGATAGATTGCTTCGTACGGGATACACGATATATGTGACACGAGTTAGCTTCATCAATTTAACATGTAACATAGAATTAATTAATTCAGCAGATTCTCAATTTCTCGAGAACTCTGTCTTTCTCTTGTGTTCCTGAATCTATTTTTATTAAATGCGACGTATCTTTTGAGCCGTCTTATCAATCATGTCTCAGCAGAACACATTGTAATACACAATTTGCATAATCACAGTTTCGCTTAATAATGATGGTGGTTAACAGAAGATGTTGATATATCATATTGAGTAATTCTAATTCTAGTCATTCTTTTGTAGAAAGTTACCTAAATGTAAATATTTAAAGTATTACACACATTGATATTTTGATATTTTACAAAAAGAAAACAGATAAACTGTCATTAAATATATATTAACATATATTAATATATATTAATATATATTAAAAATTTTAAGTAATTCTACTATTACTTTTCTGCTTCAACTTTTTCAATCGATAACGTACGAAAATTCTACTATTTCAATATTCCTTCCTTATAGAATTAATGAGAATGTAATTAACAGCTATACTTCCGTCGATTAAAACATAATCGGTATGAGTATTCTTTGATTGCCTTTGTTTTTATCGGAATACGATTTTCTTTGTTACATTTACCTTCACGGTCGATTTTCCATCGTCAATTTATTTTCTGTTCTCAGCAAACGAGATCTACAATCGATATCCAGAATAGCGAAGGATTTCTTACGGTTACGTAAATTGTTATGCATTTACCTTGAATTAAGTGCTATAATAATCTACTTTTATGAACTTCTTGCAGTCATATGGGGATTATAAAAAATTTTTTTTTTTTCAATCCGAAATGATTAATTTTAAATACAAAAATAACTATTACATTAAACAGTTAATATATTGAAATAAAAATATTGAACATGCTGTAATAAATAATTATTAGAGGAAAGTTGCCGATACTGATATCTCTTAAAGAAACCACTAAATATTGTACTTTATTAATACTGATAATAATCATGATATATTTAAATGATTAAAGAAATAAAAACTCATAATTCATATATTTGTGATCTTTTTTTTTAATAAAAAATCAGCTGAAATCGAATTCTATAAATGTGAAAATAAGATTCTTCCGAATTTTTTTCTTTCATAAATTGCATAGTTTAAATAATAGTAGCTGTATTATTGATAATATTACATCGTTTTTAGTTTCCCAAATCTGTTCTATTTATACCTTTTTTTCTTTCTTATTTTTCTTATAATATGACTTTAAACATGAAATCAGAGTGCAGCGTAAAAACCGACACACATGTTTGTAAGACATACCATAAGCTAATTTAATCTTCATATGTTGCATTATAGTGTTAAATAATCCTATCGGAGCTGAAGGGCGAGCTTGTATTTATATAGGAAAATCCTCCAAAAAGAAAAACTGTCTCGTTATATGTTGCGTCTTGCAGAACAGCATAAAATATGCATATAAATTAACAAAAAAAATACTTTATATCGAAGTAAAAAGATTCTAGAAAATCTTATATACATTCATTTGTAGATAATTTCATATAGATGATTTCTATGAAAGAAAAAAAGTTAGAATGTATAACATTACTGCCTATATTGTGTCAGTTTGGCGCCCATTTTATTAGACGCTCATTTTATTTATTTTATAAAAAAGTTAATTATTGCAAAATTACAAACAGTATTATAAAAACTGCTGTATCATCTGATAGGCAACATTCAATATGTATTTATGTTTCTATTTTTACCTTTTGTTTAAGAAATGTTGTTCAAAAATATAAAATGGCATATTTACTTATATTCATTAAATGAGTGTTATTTTACTAAACAATGTTGAATATCAAGTTAACACAAAATATTCAAATGGGACAATTACATTACATTACATTAATACTCGGATATGTTAAACATTCAATAACAAAAAATTTAATACCTACCGATTTTAATACAAATACAAAATGTTTTTTACTATGTACGTCTTGCTAACGGTTTTCTTTTCACGCAAAGAACGGATGCAACTAATTGCATGAAAATTAAATGTCTCTAACTTTGCGTGTCTTGCATAATCGCGTTTCGTATCGTCATTGACGTAGCATACGCGACGTATATGCAAAATCATACGGAGGCCACGAAAATTACTGGACCATGCACGCTACATACATTATTGTTAGAAACAAAGAATAATTGTGTAGATAAAGGCCGACAACCATAATTATGAGAACATATTCTATATCATAATCTTGAGAAGTCCGTAATGGAAACCGATGAGTATGAATGTATGTGTCACGCAGCGTCTGTAATTAGTGAGCCTATTAATTATCGACTTATCTTTCTTAAGTCAAAGGCAGTAATGTCGTATCTGCAAACGAAGATTTTATAACATCTTTCTGGATATGTTGTTGGTTTTATAATTTATTTTTAATGAGATATATAATTAATAACAATCTGACTAACGATACATGTTTCTTACAACTTAAAAGATCGAAGAAGTTCCTATATGAGTTGTTCTTAAAATATATAAATATATTATTAACTTTAACATATTCCTCATAAATTTTAAGCTCATACGAGTTTTTCGCGTGCGCACTTAAAATTATATATCCAATATTTTCTCCAATTTATTATTTCTTAAATTTTTTATTTTACAAACAGAATGTCTCCTGGAAAGATTTTTAAGAAGATATAATACTTTTTGAAAAGTTTCTCATATTATACATCGCACTTTCTTCATGTCTTTTATTATAATATATTGTAATTTTAATTTTATTTTCTTCTGCCAAATTTAGGATTAATATTTTAGGAAATCAGACTCTCCGAATCTCGAAATTAATCAATTTGATCTGCTTCAATTCCTTCCGTCCCGTTGGCGTTGTCTTGTATCGATTCGAACTTGGAGCTGGTGCTACCTCTTCGTCGTGGAGCGCGGTGATTCGTTCGGGAGCTTCATTCTCCATAAGTCCAGCAGGTGCTTCCGTTGTCTCGCCCGATTCACCTGAATCGGCGGGTTTGCCTTTCGGCGGGAGATATTTCTTACCGTGAATGAAAGGCCCGTAAGGATGATGGAATGGGAATCCAACTAGATACGGATCGGCATATATAGGATAGCCACCGTGGCCAACCCCGACCACAGGACCGCCCTTGAATACTCCATGGAAGTGGTCGTACGGCAGGAGGGGGAAATCGTGGGGGTGAAAAATCCCCAGTAATGGCTTGACCCAAGGGGGCCCATAAGGAGGCGAGTATCCGTTTTTTGTCGAGTTATTCTGGTCGCCATTCTGAGCCGGTTCTTCGGTTTGTCTGTTGTCATTATTATTGTTGTTGTTGCCGTTATTGTTACCATTATTATTGCCATAACCGTAACTACCGTGATTGTAACCATAACCACCGGGTCCATAGAAATCAGGTCCGCCATAAGGTCCATAACCACGATGTCCATAGTGTCCGTTTCTAGAAGAATCATTTCCGTTTCTCTGATAAGGTCCATAGAAGTCGTGATGACCGTATCCGTCATAGGGAAATGGAGAGTAGGGATGATGGTGGTCGAAACCGTAACCTCCGTGAGGCGAACCGTAACCTCCGTAATTGGTCCTGTTCTCCAGTCGCGCGTTCTCCTCCGTGCCCGCCTCTTCCGAAGATCCATCTCCATATGAATGATGATGATGATGATGATGATGGTGTCCGTATGATCCAAAACCATAGAAACCTCCGTAGGGCTTATCCAAGAAAGGTCCGTGGGGAAAGGCTGCCTTGGGAAAACCACCGCCGTGATAAGAAGGATATAAATTGGTGGACGATTCCTGAATACGACCGATTGATGAATCAATATTGTCGCTAGATTTCGGAGTTGCATCAAGATTGTCGTTGCTCGAGGAAAAATCGTAAGGTTTGTAAAAGTTCGACTTTTCTTGGCGTAGATAGGAACCGTCTCGTAGAGATCCATCGAATCGTTCATTTGTTTTGGATCCCTCGAGTTCTTCCGGAGAATTCTCGTACAGTCCATTGTAAGGATAAGAACGTGGTCCGTAATAAGTGGCTGCGTTTGATGTTTTATCGAATATGTTATTCAAGATTGAATGTGAATTCAAGTCGTTGTCATTCAGGTTGGCGGATACCGACAGGGTAGATTGGAAGGACGATCGATTATTGCGGGATTGCACGTCGCGC